AATAGCATACAACAACAACAACAACAACAACAACAACCCAGTATAATCCCACTAGTGGGGTCTGGGGAGGATAGCGTGTACGCAGATCTTACCCCTACCCTGGGGTAGAGAGGCTGTTTCCGATTCCCTCCCTCCAAGAACTCTCCATCTTGCTCTTGGGTTGACTCGAACTCACAATCTCTTGGTTGGAAGTGGAGGGTGCTTACCACTAGTGCAACCCACTCTTGTCTAAACATGCAATAACATGTGTTTTCAAATTGTTCTTCCTCCTTGTTCTTAAAAATTTCTTCGACAAAATATTTTCAAAAAGTTCTCGGGGGATTTGTAGTCGTACCCTATATTTGTGCCATCTTTTTAACCTGTACCCTATTTTTAAAAATTATTGATTTGGTAGCCAGTTGACAAAAAATCCATAATAATATGACAATTACACCCCTGATAGTATTAGCATTAGCATGATACTTTGGAGATGACCTCATTTGCATTAGCATACTGTAAAACCAGCCCGATAAACGTAGCAACATGCTAACGTTTGGAGATGATTTTGTTTTACAGTACCATGGGTTATTCATTAGCATGCGAGATGGTGTAAAACTTCAGCCAATTACAGTAGCAGCTGAAGTTGTTTTACATTGAAGCTAAAATTTCATGCTAATGCATGCTGAAATTATTTATTCTGTAGTCAACAGTTTTGTCATGAGTTTTATCCAAAACTTCAGTCTAAACATGCTGAAGTTAAATAGTTCATTTGCTAAAATTTCAGACTAAACATGCTGAAGTTATTTAGTTCATTTGCTAAAACTTCAGTTTAAACATGCTGAAATTATTTAGTTCATTTTCGAAAATTTCAGACTAAACATGCTTAAATTTTTGTCTTGCAATATGTAATTTTCTAATGAATTTTTGCTAATGCATGCTGAAGTTATTTAGTTCATTTACTAAAATTTCAGACTAAATATGCTTAAGTTATTTAGTTCATTTACTAAAATTTCAGACTAAATATGCTTAAGTTATTTAGTTCATTTACTAAAATTTCAGACTAAATATGCTTAAGTTATTTAGTTCATTTACTAAAATTTCAGACTAAATATGCTTAAGTTATTTAGTTCATTTACTAAAATTTCAGACTAAATATGCTTAAGTTATTTAGTTCATTTACTAAAATTTCAGACTAAATATGCTTAAGTTATTTAGTTCATTTACTAAAATTTCAGACTAAATATGCTTAAGTTATTTAGTTCATTTACTAAAATTTCAGACTAAATATGCTTAAGTTATTTAGTTCATTTACTAAAATTTCAGACTAAATATGCTTAAGTTATTTAGTTCATTTGCGAAAATTTCAGACTAAACATGCTTAAGTTTTTATCTTGCAGTATGTAATTTTCTAATGAGTTTTTGCTAATGCATGCTGAAGTTATTTGGTTCATTTACTAAAATATTAGACTAAATATGCTTAAGTTATTTAGTTCATTTGCTAAAACTTCAGACTTATCATGCTTAAGTTATTTAGTTCATTTGCTAAAATTTCAGAATGAACATGCTTAAGTTATTTAGTTCATTTGCTAAAACTTCATGCCAAAACATGCTGAAGTGTTGTCCTACAATCTACAGTTTTGTCAATAGTCCTGAAGGGCAAAATCGTCTTTTTAAAATGCTTTTAAAAAAAATGAGTACGGATACAAACGGAAAAACAAAACGGATATAAGTTAAAAGGGGCGACCAAATAGGGCGCCCCATGCAATTTTTGCATAGTTCTCCAACGTTAATAGAACAACACTTCTGTCCAAACGGTGATTGGGACAACAAAATAGATATTATCATGTGTTTGTTCTAAATAGTTACTTGCTCCTTATTCTAATTAATACTATATTTTTTTTATTCTCATTTTCTTCCCCTTTTTTTTCTTCCTTTGTCTTCTCATTTTGATATCCTTTTCTCACCTGTTAGTACCCGTTATTTATTAAGAAAAAACTAAAATCACTTCTCTAAATAGAGGAAAAAACCTTTTCCTTCAAAATCAAAACAACATCCTAAAAGTATTCTGCCGTTTCATAAGATCATTTTCACCAATTAAAATGTTCATCATTTTCTTTTGTACAAGACCCACAAAAGCAAAAGGGTAGAAAACGAAGAGACAACAATGCCTGAAAGTTCACTTGGGCGAGAAAAGAGAAAAATGTTAAAGTATAAAGAGAAAAAATTAATACTCCACTTCAGTTTCATCAAAATTTTAAGTGGAATTTTCTTGTTCAACTTACCCATTATTGTCTTGTTTTCAAGACGCCAATTTTTAAATCTTCTTGTCCCCTCAGTTTAAAAATTCTCACTTAAGATTCTAACACAATATTGAGACCATTCCAGAACATTCTATTAAAATTGATCATCAATAATGTGATGTTAAGAATGTAAAATATTTTTTATCCAACGAAAAGGCATCCAAATTAAATCAAGCGGGAGTCTGTGATAATAATTGTATTACTGCACACTTGACAAAAAGATCCTTGGTTTGACAATTCATAAAAAGCCACAAGTATGGTTTGCATTCCTGTAACTCATCATCCCATGCTACACGTAACACGATCAAACAAATATATCATGTTGCTAAAGGAAATCACATGGTCCAATTAAAAGATGCCATATAAAGTATTGCAAAAGTTTGTGTATTTTCAAAGAGTTTCTTGTCCTATACAAAAAGAGAATAAGAAATTAAATATTTTTAAATAAAAAACATTAACTTATAAAAATCTCATAGCAAGAATATGAAAATTAGCATAAGAGAGAAATCTGAGAATATGAAAATCAGCATGAGGGAGAGAGAGAATAGATGTAAATGCAATTATACTTCTCATTTATAAATACACATCAGCCTTATAATTCTTGGACATTCTTGCACTGAACTAACAGAAGAACAAACCAAACCATCAAGAAGTAATTAACTAAGTAAATTAGTAACTATGGCCAGATCAATTTACCACTTGTACTTTCAGACATAATATCTATATCAATACAAACTCAAAGTATATCCTAATCAAATTATGTAAGAAGCTATCAAGTGAAGAACGATAAGAAAGTATGGAAAAAGATAATACGATTGTTCTCTTATATATTAAAAGGAATAAATTTATTTTGAAAACTATTTAATTAGTGAAATGCTCCCTTAAATCAGAGATCAATATTTTCATGTACACGTCTAAAAAAATTGAAATCAAAGAAAGAAATGTGAAAAAGGAAAAAGAAAATTTAAAAAAGGCACTATACATGACCATAAGAGTCTATTTTTCTGCAACTCAATCTGTGTAATTTCATAATTGGGGGAAAATATAGAATTAATATTGAAAAGTCTTATCGATACTACCTTTACTTTGTAGGTCACATTGACATCCTTGTGGACACTGGCTTAACCAACAACGGCTGACGAAGAAGGAAATCTGAAATGCAAAACTGTGTACTTATCCTATGAGGAATTTAATTGTTAGAATATCTATTTGAACCCTATAATGAAATATTCTTTTATGCTTTATTGGATTTCTATGATACAGGAACGGGAATTAAGGTTTTTATATTTTAAAATCTAATTTGTTATCAATAAGACTTGGATAAAAGCAAAAATAAATTGAAGAAAGAAGATCAGATGTACTGGAAATTGTTGAGCCTCACCATATATAGCATCTTTGATCTTCAGCAAGAACCGATCGAGAAACACAGAAGCTACAAAAACCTTTTGTAGAGTAAGTCTAGTAACATAGATGTAAGAGAGAGAGAGAGAATTATATCATAGACAGAATCATACAATGTAGAACACACAAATTTGAGGATTTCTTTATTGTCTTGGTACAAACACGATCAATGGCAGTTTTTGAAATTTTTTTTGAGAAACTGATTGATTTCTTAGGGACAATAATTGAGGATTTCTTCAATTTTGGTACAAAAGTGATGCTTTTTGTAGGACTTATTTGCTTGTTTAGGGGCGTTACTTTTGTTTGGAATTGTAACTTGTAAGAATACTATAACTGCTCTCTTAATAGTCGCCTGATGTCGTGACTTTTGGATTTTTTAGAAATAGCATAAAGTAGTAAAAAATAGGATAAAAGTCAAAAAATTGACAAAATAGATAATTAGGTTTCCTGGGCAAATAGGTATGCGGTCAATTCCCAACTATATATATATATATATATATATATATATATNAAATAATATAGCACTGATTCTAAGATGAAACTATGTCTATGCAAAAATAAAACAAAAATTGCAATCGAACAGATATACATGTATGAAAAATCAATTATATATTAATAAAATTACAAAAGTATAAATATATTTAGTAGAATTATAACCAAGATGAACTGCATATTTTATTATCAAGGTGTAAGGGACATTAATAGACGATTCTTTCTTTCTTTATTCTGTAATCCTTGTCTATTATCCATCTTTTAAATAAACCTCTATTATGCCAATCCCTAAATTGCATGTTTTCTTCCTTCTTTCCTTTTCTCCCTCTCTTTATCTGTTATGTGACTAACTGAAAAAAGATTTTGCTCCCTTTTTGGTGGTCTGCAAAGTTTAAAGACATACATTATATTCCTTTCTATCTCAAGCAATAAAATACGATTACCTTTCAAGACTCTAGTAATTACTCATATAACATATTTTTAGTGTTGTATAGACACACCAAAGCTTCTTTGATCTCATATGATTCAAGTTTGAATTATTAATAAATTTTATGTAATTTAATAATCGGAACAATTTCTGTTCCAAAAATGATGCAATTTTGCTGTATCATAACTCGAAAAAAGATAAGTATGCTCAACCCCATCAAGTGTTCCACCATCGGAAGACATCACAATGTCTTGAACAAAGAAGTATCGTTTATTTGTTTGCGAAAACTAATTTGTTTACATATGCATAATAATGCTAACGGACACCATATTTGGGTAATAGTAATTCTCAATGACAATTTAAAAAAGGAAAAACAAAAATAACCCAAACAGAAAATCAAGTAACTGCAAAAACTTAAGATAAATATGCAAAATATTTGGTTAGCTCTTTGATTACACAACAGAGACATGAGATCCTTCCATAGAATTGAGTAGCTAATCATCTTGAGTATCTTATAGTTGGTAGGAGAAACACCCACTACCATATTTTTAATTGTAGGAGAGACAATTTCCCCTTTGAAATTTCTGGAACTATTGTCGACTGTCGACGCACCAGTTGACACCCTATTGTAAAGCCTTCGATTCTGTAGCCATGATTCCATTACCATTAGCAGGGCAAGTGTAAGCGAAGATGATAGCCCCATTATCATTACGCAGAATTTCACCTATGCCGCTCTTGCCAGTCTCTTTATAAAACTTTCATCGCTATCAAGTTTTCATTTTTATGAAGCAAGTCTATCCTAAGTAATATAACTGTTAATGATATTTTGCCTTAGCATTTCAACATATTCACAAAATCGAGTCCAATGCATATTGAGATTGCAGCTAGGGAGTAACAGCCAAGGTGGTATTGATCATTCAACTAATATCTTTCTCAATTTTGAACAGAGAGAACTTCTTGGAGTCACCATACGGTACCTCACCTTTATGCTTCCAAATGATCCAACAAATTACCAAAGCATAAATTTTGAGAGTAGCTCAATAATCTTATCCTTACATACTCTAGCGGAGCATCTTTACTGATTCTTTTGCACTCTATATTTTAGTATCAGAATAATGAGTTATAAAACTATCACACAGTAAATTTTAAGCTGTCAAACAAATTCTTGTTTTAGTTGAACTGAAAAATAGGAGTACTTGATTTTGACTTATAATGAAAACATCAATCCAATGATTAAGAGCATTGAGAGCTTTCCTTGAATGATGTGTGGTACGTGCCATTGCTACTCATTCAACTAAGTTAACAACTTGCCCGCTGACTAATAGTGCTGCTGCAACATTCAGTATCTAAATTTGCATTTATGCAGAGGCTTGATGTGATCAGCAAGAGTTCAAGTTCTACACATTGACAGTGTATAGAGGAAATCAGCTTAATTTGATTTATAATAACAGGTAATATTTCATAGCAAGTCTGATATATGGTAACTCAAAATACCTGGTTAAAGGGTTAAAATTATTTATATTGTCAGTATATATAACTTTGATCTATAAAAGATGATTTGCTAAGTACTAATCATGTGATTCAAGGGACTCAATCACTGCTGCGACTCTAAAGGGTATTCTGAACCAATATTGCTACGTCATAAGATATCGTGCAAGCTCCACATATAGCATATGACAAAAATAGGTATAATCCTAGTATAATGACTTAGCATAAAAGGATCAAGAAAATATAATGACTTACCAATACATTTTCAATTGGCCCATTTTCTTTCAACCGAAAGCATACGCCTTAGTATCTCAACATTGTACTATGACTCCCCCTTGCAGGTTCTGTATAGTACAGCTTGATATACCAAAATCAATTGCAATGATACACAAATATTAGTTATTGTATTCTATGATGAGAAACCAGATTATTCTTCTTATTTTCTTCTTTTGGAGTCAAAAGGCAACAACAACTGAGATGTGCTTGAGAATGTTCATATTTTCAAATTTGTTCTGCTTCAGGCTATGTAAGTAATGAATGAAAAAGAAGCAAACTTTAGCAACCACAATCTTCAAATATTGATGAAAATATAATTTTCAGAATAAACAAAACAGAGAATATATGTATTGATCTCAGTTCAATTGTAGAACAACAACAACAACAACCCAATTGTAGAACATACTTTGAATTAAATTTGTCCAAATGGGCCACCAAACGTTGTGCTAGAAGAAGAGAAAAAAGATTCTTACATGGGTTAGAAGAGAATTTTTTAATATTTTCAGGTGTAACATAAGGACTGCTCCAGGTCCTGTCAATTCACATTGTATGATTGATAAAGCCAAGTGCAAGTTTATATATACAATACAATAAGGAAAAAAAAGAAAATCTTGCCAAGAGGACTCATTTAATGTAAACCTTCAGAATGAATAACTACTGTTCTCTACATGCCATAACTTTGCAGTGCTTTTGCCATCTTGATTACTATATCTTGTTTGTATACTCCAACAACAGTAAAAGCTACAAAAGTGGGTTTTCTTCCACTCCTTAGACACACAGAGCATGCATTGCACAGTAAAGATTGCAATTGTTGCTAACATTGATGGCGGGAATCGACGTAGATCAATAAACAACCTTTTCAGCAGGAACCAATATTTACAACTGAACTATAAAACCAAATTAGAGATCTTAATTATCAGACCAAGAAAGCTATAATCGTCACTATTTTACATGAACAGTTAGTACAATTCTTTAAACGTGAATCCTACAAACAAACTCTAAGGAAGATATAATTACAGTGAGACGCTATAGCCCATAACTATTAGCCTATTTACATGTATTAGAAAATGGGTGGCTAGTAAAAAATTGAAAAGGCCAGATATCGGTAAGGCTAATAGCTTACTGGTAGTTGCTTCTAATGGAACTAATGACTTCATAGCCAACACGTCAGAGTAAAATTCAATGCTTTCAAAGAAGTTTGAGGCCGATACATTTGCTGAGTGACAATGTAAAAAATCGACAAATGAGATCCTAGAGAAAAAAAAAAGCACAAAGAAAAACCTCAAATGATAAAATTCTTGATGTTCATCACATTTACACTTTTAATTGCAAAGACTGAAACTTTGAGAACCAAAACAAAACCAAAAAGGGAAAGAAAGACGAACCCAGATGATAAAATTGTCTAATCTTCATAAAAGTTACACATTTAAGTGTAAAAGTTAATAGTTTGAGAGAAAAAGGTTATGGGTACCTTTGGGTTATTTTTCATAAAAAGATGAAGAAAGAGAGCCATGAATTGTACTTGAAGATATAAAAGCCATTGCCAATTCTCTAACACAGAAATCTTCAATCCAAATAATAGAAAGTTTTTTATGTTTATCCCAACTCTTTATCAATACAACATTTGACGTGATTGACAACTTTTTTATACTGGAAAAGTATGGCCTACTTTTACACCCAAAAAATCTAAAATATTTTTCCCCGCAAGAAAATTGTAGTGAAAAGCATTTTCCTTCGTAGCAAATTATACTGGCATTTTTCCCCGCAAGGACAATAATACTATAGATCTACAATATAGTAATGACACCAATGTAGTGTCGCTGCATCAATTCTCCAATTCAATCAAATGTTTGAAAGAGAAGCATAAAATTTTCAGAATAAACAAAACAAAGATCAATATATCTATTGATCTCAAATCTTACCTTTTGAATGCTTGTTCTGCCATGGAAACTATCCTACCTGAATTGGATTTTGGGAAATCAACTACAATGGCAGATTCAGTTTTCTCCTTTCAATTGCCGGAACCCAACGATAAATCTATGCACAAACATTAAAGCCAAACCCTAACCTAATCGTGAAACCCCAACTTAGTATTTTTATTTGCGAATTGAGGAAAGGAGAACTCATATGCTTAAAATTCATTTGCCGGGTTGAGTTCGACAAAACATACTCATCAATTGATAAGCATGTATAGAATATGAGAGAAGGGTTACTGTTGATTTGAAGATAAAAGATACAGAATGATGGGCCGAAGTTTTTGTCAATAAACTGAATCTAATAACTTCCACAAAAAAGGTTCCAAAATGTGCCTTGGATTATGCTGTACGGTTACCCAATCTTGCCCATTCACATATATCAAGTTCAAAAATTTCTCATGGGTGACTTCTTTCTTTTTAATAATATATATAATATAATATATAATATATAATATATAATATATAATATATATAATATATATATATATATATATAGATAATTATGTTTAAAATTGTAGTAAAGGAGATATATATGGGGACACATGTGACA